GTGGGCATGAGGCTCACCAATCTGTGAAAAACTGCATCTATAAATTGTGGAACATGTTTCTCAACATACAATTGCAAAGACTTTGAATATCTCATCATCTACAGTACATAATATCATCAATGGATTCTGAGAATCTGGCGAAATCGCTGTGTGCACTCTTGAAGAGACAAGGCCGAAAATCTACTGGCTGCCTATCTTTGAGCCCTCCATTGAAAACAGGCATGCTGTAACGGATATTGCTGTATGGGCTCAGAAACACCTCCAGAAATAATTTTCTGTGACACAGTTCACTGTGCCATCTACAAATGCAAGTTAAAGCTCAATCACAAAGTAGAAGCCATATGTGAACATGAGCCAGAAATGCCGCCATAGAGTAAGCATGTTAAATACATATTTAAATCAAAGCCGTTTCTGTGTAGCAAGGCCTAGTATTGCTGATCACTTACATAAACTTACTTTACATACTTTACTTACATACTTTAACATTATATTACTTTTACAGAACATAGTTGTGTATTGAGTCAATAACTAAAAAGAAAGTATTCTGCATTTTTCGCACTCTAGTGTTGAATGTGATTGATTGCGCAGTAAATACGTGTTCAAGCTAAGCTCCGATCTGAGAGTCTGTCTTATGTTATGTAAGTGCACAAACATAACAATAGTATGTCACAGCAAACTTAATGCAATCACATCAGTGGTATGTAGTATTATTTTTACTACATAGGCCTACTTGGAATTTAGAATGCAGTTTCATGTTTTTCATTTGCAGAACAAAATGAATGAAAAATTTTAACTTAATGAAATAAAAATACAATACAAAGATGTGTTAATACTAAGAAACTCTTTGACAAAATTATAAAAATACAAATAAAGAATGTTTGATAGGTATAGCACATCTCTAATCACAGCATAGTTGCCTTAATAAGCACAATCATGGCACACGTTGCAATCAGTTTTTTAGAGCAGAAGCGCCGAACAACAGTGCAGCCATAGGGCTGTCAGTAGGATCTTGAGTCATTTTAAA